TTTATTTATTTATTTTTTTTTTTCCAAAAAAACCTGCCGCACAGTAAGCGAACCTCGCCGGGATCAAATAAGGACTCATCCCACAGCAAGAATCACTTCTGATGGCCTGAAGTGGATCCGTGTTAGAAGAAATTTAGAGCCCTGCTCTTGTCCTTGATTCATTGTGCTCTACATTCAATGGCCCACTTCCCAGTGCTCTGGTACGAGAGCAGAGCAATTAAACACATTTAGGAGTCGCAGTCGCAAAGCCCACGTCTAATGAATCACCTGGAGAGGCTAATAACTCTCCACAGAGGCTGCACCTTCAACAGATCTCTTTTATCCATACATTCACCATACAGGTTTATTCCCTAATTAATCTGTATAATTTGATGCCCCCAAAACAACATCCAGTCTTTAGAATAATAAAAAAATAGATATATATACCTTTATTTTGAATATGTTCTTTTCGTATTCAAAATGCATTTTAAATAACAGGAGTAAAAGGAAAAATGAAGCGTTCTCAAGCGCTCTCCGCTTTGTGCGTAATTGGAGCGGCGTGAGGTAGCACATGTCTTAAATGTTTCTGGTTACCTTAGAGATGTGATTCATTTGGATGAAAACATATATGAAGTTATTGTAGCTCCAAATGTATGTAAAATGTGCATATACGACGCACAAACTGGTTGTTAGACCGACATTACGCGCGCAGTTTTTCTGCGTAATTCTCGCTTTTCATTTTAAATTTCACGTTAGAAACATATGTCATACATTTAAAAAAAAAATGCGCCAATAATCATGGTGAAATTCGTCTGCCTCCAAAGAAGAGCAGCCGCAAATCTGCGTGCTTTGCCAAATGTATCGCAACTGGACGTGGCGTGGCGATGTCCTAACACCTCGCTTCTGAATAACATTCCAAAAATGTATATATGTATATATTTTCAAATATTAAAACCAAACACATTGTTTTGATAAGAATAGGGTACTTACAGTGAAATTACGGCTTGTTTGGGCGGTTGTTTCCCACCGGGGAAATATCCAATGTTCCCCCCAAAAAAAGTTAACTTCCTTTTACTTGTGCTCGTCGAAACCAAGGTGGAAACTTTGCATCCGTCGTCAAGGAGCAGACATTTGATCCTGAAGGAGGGAGAGGATGGTGGACAAGTGCGTGTCTGAGAGCGAGGTGCTGTCCTTAAAGGAGTGGTGCTGAAAGAGAGGCAGGGAGAGAAGACGGGGAAAGGAGCTGCCGCCGTTTGAGTTGAAGCGAGCAGGGACGTAACATGGAGCGCAGGGCTCTCACTCTCATCTACATAGCGTCAATGTCACCTCAAAGTCGACCCACCCCAACTCCAACATTTCCGCCACTGAGATGGCAGCGGGTTTGAGAGAGGAGCATCCTCTTGTCTCAAGGTTTTATATCCTTACTGATGCAGCCTTTTTTTTACACCAGGAACTTCTCTCTCTGTCCCACCCTCTCCTTTCAGACCCTCCAAAGGCCCAACTGATGCATCATATGGACTTTTAAGGCTGCCTAAAATACCCCCTGATTAAATTCCATCAAGTTTAAAGATACTTGCAAGTCGCTTGTTTTTTCATCAACAATTACTCGTTGATATCAAAAACCCAGTTTGAAATAAATAATGAATATATACTGCAGGATTCCCAAAAAACTGAAATTTCTCAAAAGCTCAATGAAAAAAAAAAATCACTGTTTCTATGTTGTAATTCTTGAATGACATCACAAGAGGCACCCAAATATGGTGGATTTTTGATAGATCTATACAGAGACAAAACAAATTGAGTTGCTGGGTTTACATTTCTGGATTTCTAACCGTAGCTTATGATGGATACTGCTGTAAATACCAAGCTAACACAAATGTCATATTCTGATTTTGTCCACATAAATAGTTACAGTATGTGATTTGCCAGTAGCCTAGAGTGGCACTGCATGCAAACAACATGCAGTGCCACTCAGAGGGAAGAAGTTATCACTGTAATCAGTGGTGGTTCTTGGATGACTGGAGTACTGGTCAAGAAGTCACCCATCAATCCCCTACAACCACCCCACCTCCGTAGGTTTTTCAATACTTGTAGCATTTACCAAACTTTTGTACCTATAAATTTCCGTTGAACAATAATAATTTTTAACATTACATCTGTCGCCCTAATGTCAAAAAACAATTCAGTTTCTCTTTTTCTGTTTTCACATACAGGGAAGAGGTTTGCTTAATCTTAAATTGTGTTTTGAACAATACCTATTACGTGTATTAAGTGTAAAAACCTCAGTTCATTTGTCTAAGTAGCTTAGATTTTTGCTTAAAATATCAAATGTTGTCCAGGTTTGTTTAGAAACAATGCAAAAAAGCTATACGTGAGAAACTTAATGATTCCATTATTAAGTTTCTCATGTAACACTCCATCCTCATGAAGTGACATGGAGATGAATAATAGAAAATTAATTCTAGGTACCAGTGATATTAACTTTATTCTGCTGTATCATTCTTATAAGAACCATCACTGACTGGAATGATAGCGATGGTTTAGACTGCAGGTTCATGTGAGAATTACTGGTCAAATTAAGCTAATTATGAATATTTCACTCAGTAGAAGCAGCATCCAATGCTGTAGCTCAGACAGAAACATCACTGGGCCTCATAAATCGTCTAATTAGAACAAATCAATCAGGTAATATTGTTTTTTTTACCAACTTGGTTTGGAACGATCCTTGAGATTTTTGACTTTTGCACCCTAGATAGCAATGAGTAAAAAACTTTACATTACTTATCATTATTGCTCTAGTTATGACAAACTACATCTAAAGTGAAATTGTACAGAAAAGCCTGGCCTTTGTGTAGCTTTGATTGCCTGTAATCACCCATGCAAGCATTTAAACCACACTCTTGAGTGTTTCAATGTCCATCCATTTAAAATTTAAGTCATTTATGAGGAGCAAATGATTTAAAAAGGTCACATTTTGGGTAAAAATAATGCTGCATCCATTACAGCCACTGAGAGGAAGATGCCGGTGGCTTATGTTGCTCCTGGCAAAACATGATAAGAGGGTCCCAGCCAATAAAAACGAGTCAGGGTGTGCGAGATAAATTGAAAACTGTGTTCATAATCTTCTTAGCCCGCTGTCTCCCAAAACGAAATACCCTTGTGGAACATCCCAAATGAGAAGACTTAATGCTGACTTTAACTCCTACATCGAGATAAAAAATCGAGGTCTCGGAGGAAGATTAGACTCTCTCGCGGTTTCAGAGTTAAAGTTTGAATCTTCAGAATAACTTCTATTTAAAACAATGCTATATAAATATGATTGTTACAGCAACCTTTGGACATGTGAACAATGGTGGGTTTGGTATTTGCAAACCGCCTTAATCTTGTCACTTGTTTCACAATGCAATTTTAGACTTCAGTGTTTGCTATTGAGAATTTATACATTAAAAACAACAAATGTCTTTTTTTATGTTTTACTTTTATTTGTAAACTGTGTTTTTATTCACTTTGCAGAACCACATTTTACTGCTATTACAGCTGCAAGTCTGTCTTTATCTTGTCTTTATCTTGAGACCAAAATGTTTGCCCAGTTATTTCAGGAGCCATAGATGTTTGATTTTTATTTGTGTTGTAATCATTTTTATGTTAATTTGTGTTGTTTAGATCCAGTCTTCTTAGACAATTTATTTATATTTATTTTCTTCTGTTTGTGCATTTAGGTTACTCTCCATTAGCCTTTAATTCCTGTGTGTTTTGGTTCAGTTTTCTGTTTTCACTGTGCTATTTAGTCTCCTTCCCTCAGTTCTGCTCTAGCTCTTGTCTGCAGTTTGGTCCTGCTTTACTCTCATATAACATGACAATTCATCTTTATAAATATGGCACGGTGATAGATTGTGTATTTGTGTATTTAGACTCTACATTTAGCTCCATCATCACCCAATCAGTTCCGACGAGCTTCCTTGACCCTGCTAAATAAAAATACTGCAATCCTACATGAGGTTGTGTTCAGGCGGATGTCAAGTGTTACACATATAATTTTTATCATAGTCCTCAAAGTAGAAATTTGTACCCATCTGACCAGAGCATTAATTTGCGCATGTTTACTGTGTCCCATGGAGCTTTTTAGTGAACTTTTACTGTGATTGTCTGAATATCTTTTGTTCTTGGCTTATTGTTCCTGCCACTTATTCATAAAATTCATGACTGATTGTTTTCCTGTCAACAAATGTTCCCATACAAACTGTGAATGCCCAGAGCTCCTCCAGAGTTACCACTGGTCTGTTGGCTGCTTCATGGATAAATGTTCATTCATTTAAGCAACATCTTTATAGACTTACATTGATGACTTTGTCTTTGGTCGTTTTATGACCCGACCCTTCCTTACGCCTCTCCAAACCTTTATCCCACCTGTATTCATAGATAATCTTGTTTTCCCCCAAAGCTCTCCAGCAAACATTTGAGGCCTTCGCAAAAAAGGCTGTTTTCATACAAAGACTAAATTACAAGAATGTAATTTACTGATTAGTGGACTTCTAGAGGAAATTATTTGCAGTGGATTTGGCTTTAATTCTTTATTTCTCAGATACATCTCCATGTTTCTTTCTAATTCCAGATGACATTTTGTCTCCTCATGATGCAGAAAACAGCTAGACTAAATACATAAAAATAGTGAATAATATCACAGTCCATTGTGAGATTGACCTATTTCCTTGTGTTTCATTTGCTTGCGTCCCTATATTCTCCTGTTACCATCTTTGACACTAGAAACCAAATCACAGAGTGGAAAGGAAAGAAAGCTCAGCTGAAGCTCACTTATAGGTGAGGTAACATTTAAATGACATGAATGCAAAATTTTGTATTTTTAAGCTCATCTTGCTGGTTTGCCCTGAAGCCACAGACTCTCTGATGTGCAAAAAGCCTCCCACCAGCCTGCAGCTTTCATATGGGGGGTGAAAAAGCCACAGAAGTGGTGGCGCTGCGCTTGTGGCCCTGGCCCCACCTGATGGTGAGCTTGTGTGCACTGAGGCTTGTAATTACAGAAGGAGGTGGTAGTAATAGAGAGTAGAGCGGAGAGGCAAACAAACAGGCCGACAGCTGGCCTCCTGTCGATTTCGCTACTCTGGCACAGGGGACAAAAGTGATGCTCTGAAGCTATAGAGCAGATTTCTGTTCATGCGGAAAAGACAAAAGGGTGATACTCATTGTGACAGTGCAAACACAGAATTTGGTATTTTGTAAACCATGCGCCTTTTATCCAGATCTCACATGTTATGGAAAGGTTTGCATAAGGTTAAGTCATTTTATTTTCTGGCCAGAACTAAGAGCCCAACTAAATTCATGTAAATGTAAGCTAAATGTTCATCAAAACAATGAATGTAATAAAGAGACTCTTGAAAGCAATGCTAGAGGCCTAATGCTAATGTTAGAGGCTAATGTTAGAGGCCCCAATGAGGGGAATAAATAAATTCAGAATAATAATAAAAAAAAAGAATATTACATTACTAAGAACAGTCAATGACTTATAAAAAGGTATGTAAGATTCTGGCAAAAATGAAATAATATAGCTTATCTTTTACGTGAAAGATAAAAAATACTTTCTGTTGTGGATTGCACATTATTTTGAATTATGCAATCAAGTTTTTGATCAGAATTTTCAAGCTACTGATGTGTTTATAACCAAATAGTTTAGGGAAGGCCATGTCCATGCATGAATGTATTTTTGTATTTGATAATCAAATCTTGTCTGATATGAACGGGCCTCATTGATATGCTGCACCTTTATGTGAAGTTATTGAAGGGAGGTATTATGCAACTGAATGTCCGGCCATCAGTTTGCGACTTTAAGCTCCAGCTCAGTTATGTCACGCATCAGGACAGTGATCTGAATGACAGACAGAAAACTAAGTCCATATTTAAATGTGACCAAGATGTTTAGCATAACATTAAACCTGCTGAAAAACATCCTAACTTAAAATTGGCCACACTAATTCTGCAAACAAAGTGGGCTGCTTTACTTCACAGATGTAAAGGCACATCTTGCCAGAATGGAGTCAAGACCAGTTATTAGGTTGATGAGGAGAGTCACACAGAACCAGGTTGCTCTCCCCCCCGATAATGATATAATTATTGCAAAAACTGACTTTGTCATTGCTGTCAGATATAAAATAGGATTTGATGGTGAAACGTAACTATGACTACAAAATGTTTTGGGCGACAAATGCTTTTTCACAGCACTAACTGGACATATACAGGTACTGGGGTGTGGATGAAAACTGTAATGTTTCCAAGGTTGTATTTTTCTTTGTTGTTTGTTAGTTTGGTGCTCAGGACTGAAGCTTGACTGTTAGCTGGGTTCAGATTTGTTTTTTGACTTTGAGACTGGAGATCCAGGCATTGGCAGACTGGT